TACCACTTGAGCCACAGCACCACTTCTGGCCTTTTCTGTTTATGTGGTATTGAGGAATCGAATCCAGGGCTGTGTGCATGTTTGGCACACACTCTGCCACCAAGCCAACATTCCCAGCCCTGAGTGCATTCTTATGTAACACTCAGCTATGGTGGTATGTTCCTAAACACCCTGGCGAACACAGGCCCTATGTGTTCGTTTCTAGGCTGGTATGATGCTGATTCTGTTTACTGTAGCTTTATAGACTTATTTTGGAAGTCAGGCATTATGATGCTTCCAGCTTACTTCCTTTTGCTCAAGATTGCATTGACTACTTGGGTTCTTTCGAGGTTCCATATAAATTTTGAGATTTTTTTTTTTTCCTGTGAGAAGTGTTTTTTCAAATTTTGGTAGGGATGGATTTTTAGCAGTACTAGTTCTCATTTGCGAGCATTATATTCCATTTACTTCTATTTCTCCACTTTCTTTCATCAATGATTTCTAGTTTTCAGTCTTGGGCAAACTTTCAAATTTAGTTATTATGAAGATGATTGTTTTCCTGATTTTTCAGTTGGTTCGGTTAGTGTATGGAAACGTGAGTTTTGCAGGTTGACTTTGGATCCTTTAACTTGCTCAGTAGTGTTTGCTCTAAGCTTTTTGGTAGTCATTAAAGAGTTTTTCTATGTGTAAGATCATGTCTTCAAACAGGAACAACACATCTTTCAAGATGAATATCTTTTTTTCGCTCTCCTTTCTTCTGCCAGTCCTGGTGGTTCATTGGAGAGAAGAGTCTTGCAGACTTTCCTGCCCAGCCTGGCTTTGAACTGAGATGCTCAGATTCTCAGTCTCTTGAGTAGCTCGATTACAGGCCTGAGCCACTGGTGCTGTTTTTGTTGTTTTCTCATTTTATTGCTCTGCAGGAATGATGTCTTAGAATAAATTTCAATTATTTTGTAAGTGGTGGGTTTCTCATTTGTAGTCTTCATTAAGTGTTGAGGTATATTGCTTTTTTGGGGGAGGGGTTGTGGATCTTGAATTCAGGAGTTGGGTGCTGACCTTGAGCTTTTTTGCTCAAGGATCTACCACTTTGAGCCACAGTGATACTTCTGGCCTTCTGGTGGTTAGCTGGGAATAAGTCTCTCAGGCTTTGATTTTCAAATTATTTTCATTTGGTAGTTTCTATTTGGCATTTTCCCCCAGGTTGCAAACATTTTTATAGCCTTTGAAAGGCCAGGAGGCCCTGGGCAATGTGCTTACCATTTCCGAGAGCAAAACGGCTCAGAGTTCCTCAATAGTCCAGTGGAGCACTGCCCCTTCAAGGGCAAGGAAGGAGATGCTGTAGCTGCAACACTGCAGTTATCAGGAAGCCTAGCCAAGGGGAAGAGAAAAACTCTTGCATGGTTTCTGACAATAATTAAGAGGGAAAAAGAAAAATAATGCAGGAAAGATGTTTCTATCTTGCTATTTCTGCTCCAAATAGGACAGAAGCAAGAGCCCTGAGATGACACCTGTGGGAAAAACTCTGGAACAATGGTGACTGTGAAGATGCAGCAGACAATCCACTGACCCAGCAGAGATGGGGGTGCAATGCTGTTTCCTGTGAACACTCAAATAATCCAGTGAGCCTTAGCAGCTTGACCTCAAGATTTCCTTAGTCCATCTGAGAGCCATGAGGAGCGGCACAGGTAACCTCCAAGGAAATCTAGCAGCGATATAGACAGTATTTTGGAAAGACCACCAGCCTCCTTCTCCTTCTTGCTGACTTTGCTTTGGTTGTCTCCGAGCCCATTCCTGCAGTAGCCTGGAAGTGTTGCTGGCTGTCAGCCTCCAACCATAGCATCTCTACTGCAGTGTTCTCATGTGGGCTTGCCTTCCTGGGGAACTCTGGCTCTTGGCTCCTCTCCTTCTTGCTCACAGAGCTCATCTTCCTGGCTCTCCTCACTTTTCCCTTTTCTCAGATGTCAGATCTGCATGCTAGTCTGAAGGCTGTCCTTGCTCTCTCCCAGTACTTGCCTTTTATCTTCCTTCTAATATATCCTTTATGTGTCTTACTCCATCCTAATATCTGCTTCTTGAGGACCCAACTGACAGTGCTGCAGACCTACAGCTGTTCAGAAACGGAACAACTGAAAAGATAATGCTTTTCAAATGTAGCCAAAGGTGAGCACGGGCAAGAAACACGTCTCACTGGGTTGTTGCACAAGAAGGCCAACCCCTGCCATTTACCTTTCATGGGGTAGCTAAAGAGGAATCCTCCTGGAAACTGGTTATAATACTGTTTATTTGAAACTGTTTACCACTCAGTGGGTACTTACTATGTGATGACAACCCTGGTTAGAGCTTGCCATTCATTGTTTCATTCAATACTTACACAATTCTTCTACACAGTTCTATTTTCAAGATAAGGGAATGGATTTAATTAGATGTTGAACTTGGATTTCAATCAAGCACTATTGGATGCCAAAGCTAAAATCTTTAACCACACACACATACACACAAGCGTGTGCACATACACACACATCCACATCCAATATCAAGTAAAAACCTGGTTCTCCTAAGGAAGGAAGAACTAGAGAAAACCACGAAGAGAAACAGAAAAATGATGATACTGAATGCCTAGAAGTAGATGCAAGGAGGTTTTGTAGTTCTAAGTGCTTTGATCTGTTCTAATAGTGTGATCTTGGAGACGTGGAGTTTTTCTACACCTGTTTTTTTAGACTTATTAATGAGATGGTGGGCTAAGCCTCTAGATGTCATTTAAATTCTAATACCATGTGTTTTCTTCTTGGATGGAACTTTTGATTTAGTTTGTCATTTTGTATAAAGCCAAAGTGTTGGTATAAAATCAAATTAACGTTTACTTTCACTTTCAACATAAGCAGTACATGTTAAAATTCACTAAGAGAAGGAAGCCGTTTCATTTGTCAGGAACCCAAGGACTACTAACAGCTGTGAGGATCGCACACAAGGGCCTCTAGAAAGTCTCTATTTTGAGGACTTGCTTTTTCTTTCTAGTCCTGGTGCTTGAACTAAGGGCCTGGGCACTGTCCTGAGCTCTTTTGCTCAAGGCTAGCCACAGCACCACTTCTGGCTTTTTCTGCTTATGTGGTACTGAGGAATTGAACCCAGGGCTTCATGCAAACTGGGCAAGCACTCTACCACTAAGCCACATTCCCAGCACTGGGAGCCCTTTTTTTTTTGGTTGGTTGTGGGGCTTGAACTCTGGGCCTGGGCATTGTCCCTGCTCTCTTCAGCTCAAGAAGAGCACTCTACCGCTTGAGCCACAGCACCACTTCCGGTTTTCTAGTGGTTTACTGGAGATAAGAGTCTCACAGACTTCTTGCCTGGACTGGCTTTGAACCATGATCCTCAGTTCTCAGCCTCCTGAGTGGCTAGGATTACAGGTGTGAGCCATTGGCGCCCGCCTGGGAGCCTTCTTTCTTCCTTGGTATGAAGTTCTCAGAAATGATCACTAAGCTCTGTGTGTGTGTGTGTGTGTGAGTGTGTGTGTGTGTGAGAGAGAGAGAGAGAGAGACAAAAGTTGGGCTGTTAACCTGAAAACAAAAAATAACACCATTCCCTAATTAAAACAGGATTTAGGGGAGGACATGTGGAAGTGCTTTTGGGGATGTTAATTAAGGTCATTATCAGTGAGAGGAGAAACGTAGCCAGGGAAACTACCAGCTGGATCATTGTTGCTCTACCTGCCCTCTGTCCTGCAGGCTGCCCAGGAGATGTAGTCAGTGCAGATAGGAAATAGTAGCATAAGTCTTTCTGGGAGGAATGAGATGGAGAAAACAAAATACATTACTCTGCAGGAAAAAAAAAAAAAAAAGGACTGAAAAAGAAACTCACGAGTTTACTATGTTAAAAAAAAAAAGATGGCACATTTATTGCTACATAAATGTTATATACATATTGTGTTTTCTGTTACAGTGACAGAAAAAAATTTTGAACTTCTTGCTGCTGGTTGAAAAGGTTTATCAATAATACCTTGAATTTGACACAGGATACAAATCTGCAATAAACCAACAATGGAAACTGGAGAACAAGATGAGAAGCAATTCATCTCGAACAATTAGCTCTTACAATACTCCATAGGTACTACACGGTAAGCTAGAATCCTACTATGGTCTTAAAATGCTATTGTAAATTTCTGATATTAATGAACAGGTTATGGTAAATAACCCTACATTTTTACTACCTAATATAATAAAATAAAGTAAGAAACTTTTTACTGAAAACTTTTGATTTCAAAAATCTAGAAAGAGTAATATTTAGAATTCAAGAAATTTTCTTACAAGATTATTGTATAAAAGACTAGCTACAGTGAAAAATAAGCCAAATGTTTTTTTCTTTCTATTTTATGAAGGAAAGCTTCTGGGCATACTGCAAAGTCTAATATAGCGAAAAAGACAACAAGCTCCGAAGGAAAAAGGCCAGGCAGTGGCATAAGTTCACTCACACATCATAAGCAACAACTTCTGTTTAGCTGATTAACACTGAAATGAAGAACAAGGCCACAGATAGTTTGATGTAATTGGAGAATATATGCAAATTAAGGGAACCAAAAAGTCCACTAAGTTCACAAACCGCTGATTGGTTAAGAATCATCCTGATTGGAGGATCTGAAGTTCTTATTTTTTTTTTTTGTTCTTTCAAATTAACAGTAATCTCTAAGTTACATCATGATTGGGGTTCTCTTTTCTGTGTGCTGATTGCCATTGTTGATACTGGCTACAAGGGATTACTAAGCCAAGACAACCTTGTTTAGCATGCTTTTCTCTCCCAGGGTTGTTGGGGTGGAAGACAGATTTCATGGAAGTTCAAAGTGATGATTATGCCTTAAAAAACAACTCATAAGGGTTAGAGACAGAGGGTGCCTTCACGCCCGGTATGAAGATGGCTCATCTTCTTGGGGTGGGGCAGATGGTTTGCAGTTGATTAACTCACCCACCAAATTCCTCCCCACTAACCGGCCATACAAACAACAGAGAAATAAAGGCTAGGACAAGGAGACGTGGGCGGCCATTGCTCTTGTATTCTATCAGGTAATTAGCCTCAGAGTGGTATATTCACGTATCACACTACCTGCCTTGGTGCCTTCTGGGTTTTGTCATGTTCACCATAATCATGGCCTGAAGACTCGTCCTTGTATTTTGAAGGTATTTTGTGCTTACTTACAGCTAACACTTTACAAGTACTATATTATGTAGTACTTACTGCTTGGAAAACAAAGCAATTTCTAGAAAGTAGACTCTTCCCTTGTAATTTATACTTCTTGCTATTACAAGCTTTACTATGGGAACCTAGAAGCTTGAAAAGACTTAGTTATTATTAGAAATAAAGCAATGTGTATTTATTTGGGGGAAAATGTAGGGAACAAAATCTCCCCTTTGAAAATCTTAGCTAGCCTATGGTCACAGATGTGTCTGCTTCCCATTGTGAGGTCCATGTGCAAAGCACAGAGTGCTGCATGGAGGAGATTTGGACTGTGACCATGAACTATTCAGATCAGAGATCTGAGATCAAATAGAACACCCACAAAGAGAAAATAAAAATAAACGAAAGAAAAGAGAGCGAGAGAAATGCTATACCAAGTAACATTTTCCTATTTTCATGGAAAACACTAGTCATATGGCAAAAAGGATAGGAGAGGGCAGCGAGACTTTTCCCTTCCTTTTTAAGACACTAACAGGTATGCCGGGAATGCTAAGGGCCAATGGTTGTCACTGCTTGTTCTCTGCACGTGAACAGCTTTAACAAATGCTGGCATCAGCTGAGTGTAGACCAGCCTTCCACATTAACTCTTTCCCTTTATATGCAGACCTTACAGTTCCATAACAATAAATAAATTTTGTAGTTACAATGCATTTGTCAATTCAGTTTAGGCACAAGGCAACTTCCACGGTGAGTGGAGAGATCGAGACAGTCTCTGATTGTGCAGAAGCGACGCACTGCTTGCAACGAAATGATATGTTGCAAACATCTCATGGGCTGACGCTCTATGTGATGAGCTTCCTATCTTCACTTCTGATGGAAGTGTTGACCAGTTGCTTTGATCGTAGGATTACATTGGAATTTCTTGCTTTAAGTGTTTAAGTTTTTTCTTCTCCCTCCTGTCAGGTTTGTGTCTTCAGATAATCTGAGTTGTCCAAGTCCTTATGAGGAGAGGTCACCTTCTATCTAGCCTACTGATAACTCTGGAACTGTGGCAGGGAGAGAACAGCACCAGTTAGTATGCAATTGTTACAAAAGAAACACCATCCCACCAAATAAAATAAGTTAGTGTTATTTACACCTAGGTTTGCACTAAATCAGCAGTCTGCCAAGTAACTTTTTCTTCTCATCAGAGTAGGTTGTGTCCCAAAATCTGTAGTGAATTCCTGCAAATGTAGACAGTACTAAATCTTATATGTTTTTGCCTATACACTATTACCAAGGAGTTTATAAATCAGACTGAAAGATGAACAATAGTTACAGATTATGACAATATACCATAATAAAAGTTTTTGCTTTGGGCCATTAAGCAATTGCTTAAACACAAGTATGTGACATTGTGACAGACGCTCTGACACCCAAGATGGCTACTAAACCACTAACAAGTGGGTAGTGCATGCAGGATGGATATACTGGACAAAGGGGACAATTCACATCCTGGACAGAATGTTGTGAAATTTCATTACAAACTGTTCATTTCTTATGTTTTCCACAGCTGACTGTGGGCAACCGAAATAACAAAAGTCACACACACTGGACTGCTGTGACTGAAATAAGTTTTACTTGCTATGTGTGTAAAGTCAGTCACGTGATCAGGAACCATATGGTATGTAGAATTATATAGTGGCTTTGCCAATTAGTATATTTTGTTGACAGTTTACATCTGTTTTCTCCATATATATATATTTTTTGGGGGGGGCGGGTTGGTCATGGGGCTTGAACTCTGAGCTTGGGCACACTGTCCCTGCGCTCTTCAGCTCAAGGTGAGCACCCTACCGCTTGAGCCACAGCGCCACTTGCGATTTTCTAGTGGTTTATTGGAGACAAGAGTCTCATGGACTTTCCTGCCCAGGCTGGCTTTGAACTGTAATCCTCAGATCTCAGCCTCCTGAATAACTAGGATTATAGGCGTGAGCCATCAACACCGGCTTCCTCCATAATTTTTTAGGGGAAAGGTGGTACTAGGGAATTGAATTCAGGGCCTTACACTTGCTAGGCAAGCTCTATACCACTTGAGCCAGACCCTCAGTTTGACTTAATTATACTGACTCTTCCTCCTTCTGTCTATTAACAGCATGATACAGTTAGTGGTGGTAGGAACAAAACTCTCTAGGAAAAGGATAGTTATTGATTGAAGTTTATAAGTTATGAGTGCCTTATTAAATCCCAGACTTCCAGTTAAAAATAAGGGAGCAAAAAGTGGCCCGAATAAATCTGTAGTTGGCATCGTTTCCTGCTCTATGCCTGTATCTATATCTGTATCTATTATTTGAAATATTTTGATAAAATTGATAAAACTACACACTAATAGGGCTGGGAAGATGGCTCAGTGGTAGAGCGCTTGCCTTGCATGCTCGAGGCCCTGGGTTCAATTCTTCAGCACCACATAAGCAAAAAGAAAAAAGCCAGAAGTGGCACTGTGGCTCAAGTGGTAGAGCGCTAGCCTTGAGCTGAAGAGCTGAGGGACAGCGCCCACGCCCAGAGTTCAGGCCCCACGACTGGACCCCCCCAAAAAAAACCCAAAAAACTACACACTAATAATAGAATACAGCTATCTATTATATTCCTAATCCAGACTGTTAACTAAAACACTCCTGCCGCAAATACTCCATCGTACTCTATATTGGCTTCAGTTTCCTAAATATTAACTTTACAACTTAGATGCTGATGTAACTACATAGCCTTAAAAAAAAATCATACAGGTGTTTAGGCTATGAAGAGGAAGATCAGAAGAAAAGTCAACAAGTTAAGCTCTACCAGGTGAAGAGTATGGTGACTCTATCATCCAACATCTTCACATTCATGAACAGATTGTAGAGGATGTTACACAATGTGGCGCAGGTGGGAAGGAGCTGCCCTGCGCCTGTGCAATGGTACTAGCTGGTACCGTGACACCTATGGCAGCACAGAGGTGATTCCTTTATGTATGAATTACATGCAGAAAAGAAGGCACAGATGATTAGCAGAACACTAATGAGGTAGTTAGGCATGTCTGAACAAAGGAAGAGTTGGAGTGGGAACAAAAATACTTTCTGATAGATGAGTCATTGTATCATTTTCCCCTACGATCACAATGGTATTTGTGAGAGTGAATGCAACACACAATCATTCACAATGGAAGAGCTAACATTTCTTTTTTTTTTTGGGTCCAGTTGTGGACCTGAACTCTGGGCCTGGGCGCTGTCCCTTAGCTCTTCAGCTCAAGGCTAGCGCTCTACCACTTGAGCCACAGCGCCACTTCCGGCTTTTTCCCCCCTGCTTACGTTGTGCTGAGGAATCGAACCCAGGGCCTCACCCATGCAAGGCAAGAGCTCTACCACTGAGCCACCTTCCCAGCCCAAGCTAACATTTCTTTAGAAATCACAGGCAGTATAATATTTTGAAGACAATAATAATTTGGTATTAAATGAAACTGGCTCTTGGATTATACAAAATAAGAGTCTATATTTGTTGCTAGCCTCAATTTTATGTGCCCTTTACTATGAACAGTATCTACTAGAGAATTCTGATAAAAGGTTCTCCTAAAACCCACACTCACCTGGCTGATGCTTACATATGACCCATAGGGTTGGTAGTTTCACTAAGCCCAGGATGGCTTCCTGGCAGTGTGGTTGGTGGCTCTGCCGATACGGCAGAAACTTTTTCTTCTTCCCTTCTCTTAAGGCAGGCTGCTTTGGGGTTCAGGTTCCTCTCTAGAACAGAAGGAAAGAGTTGTTACTATTATGGTTACAAGGAATGGAAACATCTTTGTAATTTCCTATTTATATTGAACAACTTCACACTGAGGAAGTTATGATATGCTCACTTGATATTTAGTGTGTTTCAAGACTTAAACTTCTTAGTGATTATTTTGTCCTTGCTCATTTTTTTTTTTTTTTTGCTTATGATTCAGTCTTCTAGGTATTTGATTTAAATCGACATGATAATCATCTTCATTTTGTCAAGTACTGCTAAGGTATAGTTGATCAAGTTCTAAGAGTGTAGTTAAGACAGGGATTGACATGAAGGCCAATGTTCTCTCTGAGAGAGACATCTGCTATATGTCAACTGTTGCCAATGCAGAAAATGAGAAAGAGATAGACTAAACTACTCCTCTGGAGGAACACTGACTCAAGGGAGAGTAAGAGCACATCTGCTTTTCTGCTTTGAAGTGCATGTGGTATGACTGAGAAGGTGGTAAAAACCTTGACTCCTCCTTACATAAGTCTGCAAAGATTGGCTGGGACCTGTGACATAGGTCCCAGCAAGAGGCTGAAGAAGCAGAGCCCCTGTAGTTGGGAGGTCTGTGCTGCCTTGGCTGTGGCTGTGTGGCTTTCTTGTAAAGGCATGCCCTATGGGCTGGGCTGGCCTCCTCCTGTTGGAGACATGGAACAGAGCCTGAACCATGGTCAGTATAGAGGAAGCAGTGGGTCTGACCACCACTGCTGTGGGGTTGGAAGATTGTTCTATTTCATAAGCCATAAGGCACATTAAGTATAAAGAAAAACAAAATTTTAAAGTCTACCAATATCTATCTTCAATGGTAGCCATTACAGAGGAGCCCAAAAGGCCAAAATAGGAAGCTACATTAATGCTAGGTATAAGCTTTATCACCAATAAAGGAGGATCTTCATATCTAGCAGCCCAAATCAATGATGCTAAAGAATGATGTAGGGGCCTGGGAATGTGGCTCAGTGGTAGAGTGCTTACCTAGCATGCATGAAGCCCTGGGTTCGATTGCTCAGTACCACATAAACAGAAAAAGCCAGAAGAGGCGCTGTGGTTCAAGTGGTAGAGTGCTAGCCTTGAGCAAAAGAAGCTCAGGGACAGTGCCCAGGTCCTGAGTACAAGCCCCAGGATTGGCAAAAAGAAAAAAGAAAAAAAAGAATGATGTAGGGCTGGGAATGTGGCTCAGAAGTAGAGTGCTTGCCTTGCATGCAGTAAGCCCTGGGTTCCATTCCTCAGTACCACAAATACAGAAAATGCTGAAGTGGTGCTGTGGCTCAAGTGGTAGAGTGCTAGCCTTGAACAAAAAGTTCAAGGACAGTGCCCAGGTCCTGAGTTCAAGTCCCAGGACTGGTTTAAAAAAATGATGTAAACTGATTAAAAATACTGAATACAATGTATTACTAATGTCACATTACCAATGTGACAACATAGTTAAAAAAAGCCAGGTGCCGGTGGCTACGCTTGTAATCTTAGCAACACAGGAGGCTGAGATCTGAGATCTCGGTTCAAAGCCAGCCTGGGAAGGAAAGCCCATGAGACTCTTTTTTTAAAAATTCTATTGTCTCTGTTCTTTTTTTATTATTATTATGAAAATACCATACAGGGGGTTACAATTACATGGGCAAGATAATACCCATGAGACTCTTGTCTCCAATAAACCACTAGAAAATCGGAAGTGGTGCTATGGCTCAAGTGGTAGAGCACTCGCCTTGAGCTGAAGAGCACAGAGGTAGCGCTCAGGCCCAGAGTTCAAGCCCAGCGACTGACCAAAAAAAAAAAAAAAAGAGCTTTGAGGTCTTTTCTTCTTAGGCTGGCTTTGAACCATAGTCCTCAGATTTCAAGCCTCCTGAGTAGCTAGGATTATAGGCATGAGCTACTGGCACCCAGCTTGATTGTATAAATTTTAATACACCTTTATAGTTTTCATCTGGCTTTTCTAAAAACACTGTCACTGACATCATGGTACAATTTCATTTTAGAATTCTACTTTTCTAAGACCTCATACTGAGGAAAAGGCACAGTCTACACAACCACAAGGAACATTAAAGAAGGAAGAAAGGCACCTTCTCCCTTCACAGGATACCTAGTAGGAGAAATGAATTATCATTATGGAACAGTATTAAGAATGACTGCTTTAATAACAAAACTGTACTAATGGGAGTTTGTTTTAATTTGGGTAACTGGAGAGAATGTGTAAGAAAGGCAAAACAAGATTTGGAAATACTTTCAAGTGAATTAGGTTCACATTTCTCTTATAGTGGAACACAGCTCTTAGCTAACTCTGATGCTGTTCATAGTAAGTAGGCTCAAGGGGGCTAAAACAGCTAGAGAGGACTAGAACCTAAATTCAACAAGCTAGGAAAGACCTTGTAGATTCCTGTAGCCAACCTAAAAGAACATGCAGGGCTGGAAGGATCAGATGCTACATACAGCAGGCTCTGGGAAAAAGAAAGCACACACAGCTTTGATCCAAAGGAGGCCAAGAAGACTAGGGTTGTTCCCTTATACCTCTTGAAGTATGTGAGCAGCACAAACATGTGTTAAGTAGCTAGGAAAGTCTGATGTTAAGAAGACGTTACGTTGGGCTCGGAAGGTGGCTCAGTTGTAGAGTGCTTGGTTTGTATGCATAAGGCCTGGGGTTCGATTCCTCAGTACCACACAAACAGAAAAAGCTGGAAATGGTGCTGTGGCTCAAATGGTAGAGCACTAGCCTTGAGTTGAAGAGAGCAGGGACAGCACCTAGGCTCAGAGTTTAGGTCCCACAACCAGCAAAAAAAAAAAAAAAGTGTTACATGGAAATCAAATATTCCCATACTTCCATTAAAGAAATGTTATATGTTAACTTCTGATGGGTAGATGAGGACTTGACTGTGGAGCAAATTTAAGAGCAAATTTTCTGCTCTTAAATTCTTACATTATTATGTAAGAAGTGACTGTTCTCTTATGGGTACCTATAGTTTTCCATCTAGCAATTTCTTTTTTTTTGGGTCCAGTCGTGGGGCCTGAACTCTGGGCCTGGGCGCTGTCCCTTAGCTCTTCAGCTCAAGGCAAGCGCTCTACCACTTGAGCTACAGCACCACTTCTAGTTTTCTGGTGGTTTATTGGAGATAGAGTCTCACAGTCTCTCCTGCCCAGGCTGGCTTTGAACCACGATCCTCAGATCTCAGCCTCCTGAGTAGATAGGATTACAGGCGTGAGCCACCAGTGCCCGGCAGAATTTATAACTTCTTTCAAACAAGCCATTTCATTTGAATGGCTTGTATTTGAAATTAGCTACTTCTGATCTTAAGAAAACATTCTTAAAAACACATGTGACTCTGTATTTGAGCTCTAAAGTATAGTGGAAGAGCGAAGGCGCATTACTAGAGTCAATCCTGGACCTTGCTAACCAGACAAGTAAGACTTCCCCACAACTCAGAGGGAGGCAATAGCTTTATTAATAAATGGCTGAGTAGAGTTAGAAAATATCCTGGGCTGAGGAGGGAGGATGGAAGCACTCGGGGTGTTAATATATAATTTAAGAAAAAAAACCTTTGGTGATGTGACAGGAGATAATGGCTTAAGGAGCCACTGTTCCTGCTACAGATGACTGGAGAATAATCAGCTGCTTCATGAACATTTCAAGGAAGTCTGTAACCCCTTGAACATCCCCTATAGATGCCTTAAGGGTTTTGCAACAAACAGTGAGCATTTGGTTTTAGTAGCAGGTTGATTATACACAAAATAATTCTATGTATTAGTCTTATGTATTAATATATTGGAGGAAAATAGATTAATTGCTAGATGTTTTTCTGACAGTTTGTTCAATGTTTCCAACTTTGATTTCCTAAGGAAGAGTTTTCTTTCTATAAACCATGTTGTCCCTATTCTCCTCTAAATCATCTTCATTTTTTTGTTGTTGTTGTTGGTTATGGGGCCTGAACTCTGGGCCTGGGCGCTGTCCCTCAGCTCTTGAGTTCAAGACAAGTTCTACACTTGAGCCACAACGCTACTTCTGGCTTTTTCTGCTTATGTGCTGCTGAGGAATGGAACCCACGGCCTCATGTATGCAAGGCAAGCACTCTACCACTAAGCCACCTTCCCAGCCCCATTCACATAAAATTTAACATGAGTATTCAATAAATAAGACAGAGTTCATTTCAATGCAGACTAGTGGTAAGGCGTAGAAGTCGGGGCCACATTTATGAATTCCTTGCCAAAAAGCTTGTGATAAAACATTCATAACTTTGATAGGGAAAAATATAGGTGACTACCAAAAGGCAAGTTTGATGACAAAACCTCTAAAGGACAAGAAGTTTCAACTATCCGATAACTCAGGGTTTATAATATAGCTGGCAGGCACAAAGGAGGTATGGAATAAATTCATATTGAAAAAACAAAGTTTTTCTTCAAGATTCCACAAAACTTCATGAACAATACACAAGGTAGTTGTCTTAGTCAGTAAGCTGTGAGCCTCTATAAATCACTTCTGTCCTTAGGACACAAGGCAAGCCAGTGCACTTCAGTGCAAGGTGTTCATAGCACTACTAATCAAACATCAACAGAGGCCCTAGGGCCAGAACAAGCCACAAGTTGGCCTTAATCAGCAGGTCTCATAGATGCTCCAGGATAAAGAAGGTCCATAGAACAGGGAAACCTAGATCCTGGAGGAAGACTGGCAGAAATATATTGAAAGAACGTACAAACATGTTGCCAAAGTAAAAGAGCAGTGGCACATGTGTAATCTGTCACTGTGGGGACTACTTACCTCGGACTTGCTGTTCTAGACTAAGGATGACTGCCACGGCCTGATGAAGAATAAGGAGTTTTGTTTGGGGTTTTTCACTCTTCAAATGAAGCTGACACATTCGGCCAAGTTCTTTGAACGCCTCATTAATATCCCGCACTCGTAAGCGCTCTCTAGCATTGTTAGCCATCCGCCTCTCTTTCTCCCTTTCTATTTTTTGTTCGGGGTTCAGATCCTCATCTTCATTAGTACTGCTGGAAAACAAAATACCATTGTTATCTATTAGCATCTCTACAAGTAACATATGCCAACTGTACAAAATAATAAAGGATAAGGATGGAAGTGGAAATTATAAATCTTACTAATAGAATAGCTACACTCAACATAATTGTTTCTTTCAGTCTTTAATATACATGTATAATAATATAGTTGAAATTCTTCCAGTTTTTAGTGTTATTTTTCACTGCACATTAAGTAAAAATTTCTGTGTTAAAAAATTATTCACAGACAACTGATTCTAGCATGTTACACCAAATGTGGCCCATAGATCAGCAGCATTAGTATTACCATAAACCTGTTAAAAACTAATGCAGCTGGGCGCCGGTGACTCACACCTGTAATCCTAGCTACGCAGGAGGCTGAGATCTGAGGATCACAGTTCAAAGCCAGCCCAGGCAGGAAACTTCATGAGACTCTTATCTCCAATAAACCACTAGAAAACCGGAAGTGGTGCTGTGACCCAAGTAGTACAGGGCTAGCCTTGAGCTGAAGAGCTGAGGGACAGCACCCAGGCCCAAAGTTCAAACTCCACAACCGAACCCCTCCCCCCCAAAAAAATACAAGTTCTCTTCCAAATCAACTGACTCAGAAGCTGCACTTTAACAAAATGCCTACTTGATTCATTTGGGCACAAAAGTTTAAAAGCACGGTCCCAGTACTTAGATCAAAGTTTCCCTAAGAAGACATTAGTGTCTTGAATGCATTCAAGTGCTCTACCACTTGAACCACAGCACTACTTACGGTTTTCTGATGGTTAATTGAAGAAGCAAAGTCTCAAGGACTTTCTTGTGCAGTATGGCTTTGAACCGTGATCCTCAGATCTCAGCCTTCTTAGTAACTAGGATTACAGGCATGAGCCACAGGCGCCCAGCTTGTGAGACTTTTATCTCTAATAAACCACTCAGAAAACCAGAAGTGGCGCTGTGGCTCAAGTAGTAGAGTGTTCACCTTGAGCTGAAGAGCTGAGGGACAGCGCCCAGGCCCAGAGTTCAAGACCCACAACCAACTTAAAAAAAAAAAAAAGTCTCACAGACTTTCCTGTCCGGGCTAACTCTGAATGATAATCCTCAGATCTCAGCCACTTGAGAAGCTACGATTACAGGTGTGAGCAAGTCGGGCCACAGCTGATTTTTTTTTTTTTTGAGGGTCGTGGAGCTTGAACTCTAGGCTTGGGTACTGTCCCTGAGCTCTTAAGCTCCTGGCTAGTGCTCTACCATTTTAGCCATACAGCTACTTCTGGTTTTCTGGTGACTTACTGGAGATAGCAGTCTCATGGACTTTTCTGCTTGGCCAGGCTTTGAACCGTGAACCTCAGATCTCAGTCTCCTGAGTAGTAAGGATTACAGGTGTGAGCCATTGGCTCCCGGCCCAACACATTCTTTTGATAATAGCATCACTATCTCTTTCAGAGAGAAAGTAGTTTTATTTTATTTTATATTATTTATTTTTTTGGCTGTGGGGTTTGAACTCAGGGTCTGGGTGCTGTTTCTGAGTTCTTTTTGCTCTAGGCCAGAGCTCTACCACTGTGAGCCACAGCAAAGTCCAGGTTTTGTTTTTATTTATTATTTTTATTATTATTATTTTGTTAGTCATGGGGCCTGAGCTCTGGGCCTGGGCGCTCTTCCTCAGTTCTTCAGCTTAAGGTTAGCGCTCTACCACTTGAGCCACAGCGCCACTTCCAGCTTTTTTCTGCTTATGTGGTGCTGAGACATCGAACCCAGGGCCTCATGCATGTGAGGCAAGCACTCTACCACTGAGCCAACTTCCCAGCCCCCAGTCCAGGTTTTTGAGTGGTTAATTGGACCTAAAGACTCTCATGGACTTTCCTTCCTGGGTTGGCTTTGAACTGCAATCCTCAGATCTCAGCCTCCTAAATAGCTAGGATTACAGATGTGAGCCACTGGTGCCCTGCGAGAAAGTAATCTTAAAGACCATCTATGCCAAAAGTGTCCAGTGTGGCCATTTATTAGAATCTCCAGCAGCACTGAAAAGTACAGCTTTGATGTCCCTTTACTAGAGATGCTAACTTAGTGACTGGGTTGGACTCAGGCATCTTAATTACTAAAATGTTCCAGGGGTTGTGTAGCAGGGTTGAGAACAATGGAAAAGCCAGAATCAGTGCTCTACAGAAGTAAACCTAAAATTACTTTCATAATATTAACTAGATGCTATCTTTATTGAGTACTTACTGCATGCTGAAAACAGTGGGAATAGTCTTTTTCTGGTCATGAGGGCTGAACTCTGGGCCTGGGTGCTGTCCCTCAGCTCAAGGCTAGTGCCCTACCACTTGAGCCACAGCCCAACTTCCAGCTTTTTTCTGCTTATGTGGTGCTGAGGAATTGAACCCAGGGCCTCATGCATGTGAGGCAAGCACTCTACTACTGAGCCAACTTCCCAGCCACAGTGGGAATAGTCTTACATGCACTATTTTCAGGTTATTACCATATAAGAACATTGTAACAAAGAGAAGGAAGAACTCAAAGAGCTTGTCAAAGGATACATGTGATGTGTTGGAGCCATAATTCAAAGTTTTGTTGGTGTCATTTTTGTCCAAAGGTGACAAATAGTAAACTATTAGTTAATATTGATTATTAACTTGTAACAGTGCCACTTAATTTCTGATACTTAGAATATGGGCCAAAAACTATGGCCATGAGCTGGTCTTCTGTCTGATAACTAAAATGCTTCTGGACCTGCCACATTCATTAACTTATTTATTGCCTCTGGCTATAATTGTGCTATAATAGCAGAATGTTGTCCTGACAAAGATAATATGGCCCACAGACCTAAAATGCATACTATATGCCCCTTTATAAAGAAAGTTTGCCAACTCCATGCAGAAGATGAGGAGGAAAGATACCAATGATTTCCCTCAAAATTCTTCTGGAATTGGGGCCGGGAAAGTGGCTCAGTGGTTGAGTGCTTGCCTTGCATGCATGAGGCCCTGGGTTCCATTCCTCAGCACCATATAAGCAGAAAAAAGCCTGAAGTGGCGCTGTGGCTCAAGTAGTAGGGTGCTAGCCTTGGGCTGAAGAGCTGAGGAACAGTGAGAGTTCAGGCCTCAAGACTGATAAAAAAGAAAAAAAAATTCTTCTGGAATAATAAAACTGTTATGTTAAGATGCATCAAAGGCCGGGCGCTGGTGGCTCACGCCTGTAATCCTAGCTACTCAGGAGGCTGAGATCTGAGGATCGCGGTTCAAAGCCAGCCCGGGCAGGAGAG